ACGCTATCGCCACCTCATGCTTTTGACCGTGGTGTGCTTGCGCATCGTCTGCTTTTGAATATGGATGTCGCCTTCGTCGTTGCGCCCATACTGGTAGCTGGGTTCGTTGTTGTACGCCATGCAGATGCTACACGTCATGCATGGACGCCCCTCTGAGGTCTCATAAATCAGCAGCCATGGGAAACACCGCTGCCACTGCTCCTTAGCTTTCAACTGGAGCTCAGCCACTGTGAGGGGAAAGGGACCATCGTCGTTGTCGGAGTTGGCTGGAGATGCTTCGGCAGAGCGGGATCACACATAGATGGAGGGTGTAGACTGAGCCACCGCTGGTCGGCCAAAACTAAGCTTGCGTTGACGACACTTCTTTTTGCCAGGGCCGCGGACAGGAAGGACAAGACCGCGCGTCACGCGTGAAGGGGAGACGGCTCGCACGGTCGAGCAGCCAGTTGTTGACGATGGGATGGGTGAGCTCGGAGCATCACATGTGGAGTTTTCTTTGTCGAAGAAAACCCAGGGCTTGTTGTCTACTGGTGGGAGAGGCGAGGGAGGTGCCTCACCCACGGCAGCAATCGACGCATCGCCGATCACGGCTCGGTTCAGCGCGCCAGTGAGGAGATCTAAACTACTGACAATCATAGGGGTTGAGCCAGGGAGCTCCGAGCCTACATCTGACTGCCTAGCTGGGGAGGGGCTCGAATGCACTCTCTCTGACACCATCGCTGCCTAGTCACAAAGCTAGAGGGCGTCTAAACAGGGTGTAAGCCGAGCAAGACTGGAGCCATGCTAAGGGGGATGGAAGAAAGACGTGGAGCAGGAGAAGTGTCTACGAGGCTTTTCCCCTGGTGCCTTTACCTTGAGGCGCCTCGCCTCGCTGCAGCATGGCGAGCGAGGTTGCTGCATGGTTACGAAACACCTTTGCAATGTTGGACCGCGGTGGGTGGCTTTCCCGGCCGCACTAGAGTGCGCTGGCACATTGCTGCGAGCCTGAAGAAGCAAGGAAGCTGGCAGCCGTGCAAGTGACGCACTAGCGGACAAGTATGTGGCAGCAACCTGAGTCAAGTATGCAGTGGTAGTCGCGATGCGCATGAAAATCAATGCACCTGCCCACCGACCACGACAAGATGGCGGAGTGTGGGCCAGTGGGCAGGTGACCCATTGGCACAGTGTGATAATGAGCGAATTCGTCGCTGTCATACGAAATTGTATGCGTTATCTGATATTTCAGACGAAAAAATACACCAAGTATGAACTTTCAGACGAAATCTTATGATTGAGATGGACAATTAGACGAAATAATTCACCTTGTAAAAAAATCAGATGAAAGTAAAAAAACCGGTCTGATTTTTAGACCATGAGACGGATTTCGTCTGATATCTGAGATCTTGGTCGTTGATTGTTGACCGACGATCGAACAGACTGAGATCAAGGGTCCGACACTGTAATTCAGCGTATGCAGTTAGCCGAATCGTGTGCGGTTACCCGACCGAGAATGTACCCCTGCTAAGTGCATCATTGTGAAAACTTGCTTAGGTCCTCTTGTAAGGGCATCGTGCTTCATTTCATATGGGTAACATACATGATCCTCGTCCAACAAATGATCGTACACGCATAGTCGGGTGGGTGGGCAGGGAAATAGAACTAGAGAAATTAGAAATCAAGAACGTGGGTGAGGTCAAATAGCCTCACCTCCCTCCTTTGTAGGCAAAAGAGGGTGAGTTGAGTAGCCCTTTGATGAGGCTACACTTTCACAATTCACATTTTTAGAAAGCGTTACACTCTTTTTAAATAATTACATATTGTGAAAGCTTGCTTAGGTCCTCTTGTAAAGGCAGCATGCTTCATTTCATATGGGTCTTCTGAGACGTGCAGAATGGGTCGGACGTGTCGTTCGATAGATAGCTGGTGCTGGTTGAGCGTGGGGGTGGTGGTTGCGTCTTGGCGTTTCATAGAGGCCTGAAGGAGTTGGTCTTGTGCAATAGTGACATAGAGCTCCTTGGCGTTGTCACTATGCTAGCGGCCGTGTCGCTTGAACAGCCGATCGGAGATCCCCAGGTTGGTTGGCGTAGTTGCTGCACCTTTGCAGAAGGAGTGTGTACCGTGGTGGGTGCAGTCAAGGCCGGCCCTAGTGAAGGCTTCGAGGTACCAGTTCCGGATGGTGGTATATGAAGGCGATTTGTCTTGTGGAGTTGGTTCTTGTTGTTTCCAAAGACTCGGATCAATGGTCCGCATGGGGTGGCGGTGTGACTTCCGAGGAGTAGAAACTGTCACGTGTAATGCACAGGGCAGTAGGGTCCAAAGGTGGCGGTGACCGTGATCCATGTGCCCCGACTTTCCTGGTCGGCCTTGGAGTGGGGAGTTAGCAACTACATTGCCTCGGGCTCAAATTGTATGTCGTTCCACTAGAGGCTGACCAGGCCAGAGTAGAGTAGGAATGCAGCAAACATGAGGATCAGGATGAGTCCTTTCTGGTACTTGGCCAGCCTGGTAGGCTCGAGAAAGGGGTGGGCCATGGCTTGCACTTGGTGAAGCGATAGGGGTTCCTTGTACCGGGTAAGGTGCGGGCCGTGGCGCTTGCCAAATTAACGTACTTGTAGTGTGAACGGGTCATCTGTGCGGGACGGCTCCCCAGCCATCTGATGTGTAAAGGCGGCGGCGGAGCATGTGAGCGGTATGGCTGATGTTATGGCTTGTTGATTCAAGGCATGAACAAGGTAGAGTGCCAAGGTAACATCCATTGTAGGCAAGTGACACAACTTGACCTTCATGTAGAATGAGTGAAATTTGAGCCAGTACGAGTCATATGTGCGGATGGAGGAAGGGGCGCGGACGTGTGCAATTACTTGTAGTACCTTATCTGCAACTTCGACAAAATGCGTGAAATGATACATTCGCGTAAAATCATTAGTATCATTATCATTTTTTGTACGTAAGATGCAATGCAATCATATGACTAGGAGGAAAGCCTTGTCTGGCGAATGCGAGGGAGTGTGTGCCAGGTCAGAGACATTGGCTGCTGCGGGTGAGGCGGATGTGTGTTGTGAATTCTGGTGCCCAAACGCCAGCTGATGGTTGCAGCAGTGGCCACCATGGAGCTTTAGGCCACTCGGGAATAACTAGGGTCAGCTTTGCACACGTGCATTGAGCGTGTCGCAAAGTGGTTGGGATGAGGTTGGGAGGTGGAAATGCGAAGCCACGTTCGTACTCCCAGCAGAATGAAAATGCATCAAATACTATGGTCGCTAGGTGGGGAATCTTGGAGCAAAACCTCTGCAGCTGAGCGTTGTGAACATTTGCAAAAATATCGATGGTATGTGGACCCAGTCGACGATCTAACAGCCGAAACCAAGGGGCTTGGAGGGAGTAGTCCCTATGGTCTTGGTTTTTTCAGAGCTCATCAGCTTGCGCGTTTAGCTCTCTCGGAATCCATTCGACGGCCAACATTCTCAGATGCTCGAGGCAGAGACGAATGATTGCTTGACATAGTAGCGTGAGCGTCGAGTGGCATGATCCCCCTTAGCGCAGAATGAATACCACCCCCTGATTGTACACACGAACGAGCACGTGGCGCTTGACGATGTGGGGGGTAAATGTCTGAAGTGCCCATAAGATATGTTCGAGCTTGCGACACGAGCTGGAGGGGGGCAGGAGTACCTCGGGCATGTGGGGCGCTGGCTTCAAGCGGCATCCTGGTTAGTTGTGTCAGGGTGGTGGCCCAACTGTGTGCGCTTGCATCGACGTGGATGACGACGTCGAGCTGGTGACTGAGATTGTACCATTAAAATGGTCGAAATATGGTAGCCATCGCTGCTAGAGACAGCTGTGTCATGGCATGCCAGGAGGTGGCATCGGCAATGAGTCGAAGGAGCTCGTGGCTGAAGGCGTGAGACTCGTAGAGGAGAGCATTCTAGTGGCTCGTGCGAGTGACCAGATGGAGAGTTGTCGTCCCTCTTGGCCTTGGGTGACGAGGGCTCGAGTGTCGCAAAAAGTTGTGTCCGGCGTTCTAGTCCAACGGAGAACGTGCCATCGGCAGTGTCGATCTCCAAGCCGAGGAAGGCTATACGGCGCGAGGGGTTGAGATGCGATTTCTTTGCATTGAAGACAAAGCCCGCCGCCCTCAAGTCCCGTACGACAGTTGCGCAAATCGAACGTGCGTGGAGATGGGAATTGCAAAGGAATAGCAAGTTGTCGACATACGAAACAACGTGCACGCCGCTCGCCTGCCATCTCTTTACCAGTTCCTTGATCAACTACGTGAAGACAAACGGGGTTGTGTGGCAAGCCCAAATCGAAGCGGGCGGAAGGAGTAATGATCTCCTTCGAACTAGAATCCCAGGAACTTCCAGCAGGATGGGTGGATCTCGACGTGGTTGTAGCCGGATTTTAGGTCGATGGAGAACATCCAATCGCCTGGAGGAATGAACTCGGCAACTCGGTTCAAGCCTTCGTACAAAAATTTTGGGATGTCGAGGTAGGTGTTGACTTTGCGCAAGTTGAGAATGAGGCGACACTTGTCATGCTGCTTGACCACGTTGAGTGGGCTGAGACACAGTAGTTCTTCCCTAGTAGGGACCATGACAGCGGCACTCGTGGTGATGAGGTCATTAATTATCTTACGAGTGAAATCCATGTGTGTGCAGACTCCAGCATGATTGGTGTCCTCGAATGCATGCGGCACGGTGTCCTTCCATGGTAACAAATATCCTTTCGCGATGATGGATAAAACGAAGCTGCTATCGCACGATGAGCACCACCAGTGTAGGGAATGACGCAGCCGACTGTGCATGACTGTCACGTCCTTGTCCGTGACGGCGTACTTGTAGGGGTCGTGTCCGTTGTGTGGCCATCCTTTTCCAATTTCTGCAGAACCAAGGGTCAGGTGATAGGGGTCGCATGGGTATCCAAACCGAGGGGCACCGTCCAATTTGCTCTGAGAGGGGATTACGTGTAGGGAGGCATGGCTCATATCCATGGCTTCTCACTTAATTGCCCATGGCTACATGGCCTCTATCATATATGCTCCTGTTCTATCCTATTCTTGTTCTCTCTCTCTCTCTCTCTCTCTCTCTCTCTCTCTCTCTCTCTCTCTCTCTCTCTCTCTCTCTCTCCCTCTCTCTCTCTCTCTCTCTCTCTCTCTCTCTCTCTCCCTCTCTCTCTCTCTCTCTCTCTATCTCTCTCTCTCTCTCTCTCTCTCTCTCTCTCTCTCTCTCTCTCTCTCTCTCTCTCTCTCTCTCCCTCTCTCTCTCTCTCCCCCTCCCTCTCTCTCTCTCCATCTCTCTCTCTCTCCTTCCCTCTCTCTCTCTCCCTCTCTCTCTCTCTCTCTCTATCTCTCTCTCTCTCTCTCTCTCTCTCTCTCTCTCTCTCTCTCTCTCTCTCTCCCCTCTATCTCTCTCTCTCTCTCGTTCTCTCTCTTCTCTCTTGAACCTTATACCTTTCTTTCTTTTTCCCTCTCTCTCTCTCTCTCTCTCTCTCTCTCTCTCTCTCTCTCTCTCTCTCTCTCTCTCCTTCTCTCTCTCCCTCTCTCTCCCTCTCTCTCTCCCTCTCTCTCTCTATCTCCCTCTCTCTCACTCTCGCTCTCTCTCTCACTCTCTCTCTCTCTCTCTCTCTCTCTCTCTCTCTCTCTCTCTCTCTCTCTCTCTCTCTCTCTCTCTCTCTCTCTCTCTCTCTCTCTCTTTCTTGCTCTTTTATGAGATATTTTCATGTTGGCTATTGCTTCTGCTTTTGTTGTTGGCCAAGTTGCACGCCACACCTTGGCCTCATGGCTATTGCCTTTTTTTTTTTTTTTTTTTTTTTTTTGGGTAGCGCTTTCTGTGGACCATGGCCTCCTCATGTGAGAGGGTGGTTGCACACCTTGGCCCTGTTTTCCCAGCCACCATGGTGGGACTCTCAATGTTTTTTTGTTTGTTTGTTTGTTTGTTATTTTTTAATTTAGACTCAATGTGCCATGGCAGCATATGAAGTTCTATACATGGAATTCCACAAAGCCATAGGCTCACGGCCTTCTCTGGTCCTAGGGCTACCCTACTCCACTAGGATCTTAGCCTTAATCTAGGCTTGCCATGCACCCCCAGTGGAGCCCAATATGCTCCTTGCATATTGGCAAAGGGCACCGCCCTACCACGCTACTCACATCACCGGTGTGGGGCCTTGTTCTCCACACCCGCTCATGGGGCAAGCGTTTGCCATGTGGCCCTGCTGGCCACAGCGGAAGCACACTCCCTTGAAGTGCGGCTACTGACACGTGAGAGGAGGGGAGCCTTTGAGTTCCATGTCACCGTTACGACTACCGGGACGACCGCCGCGGGATTAGGTGGCGCGCTCACTTGAGGGCAGCTACTTCAGCTACCGCAAGCTTGTATGAGCGGGACGTGAGCACACTCTTAGACTGGTAGAGCTGGAAGCGATCAGCGGCCTCGATCTCGTCCGACATGAGAAGCACTTGGAAATGCTTATGAATAAGCAATTCGATGTGTTTCATGTTGTTGAGCGCGTGGTCACATTGCCGTGCTGTAGCTAGTATTCAATATGTTGCAGGTGAACTTGAATAGCAATGAAGACTTCGGCTTGGTCGCGCACACCCTTGTGCACGAAGGTAGTTGCTGCACAAAGTGTTACACGCTTTCCAAAAATTACATTTTGTTAGACCCTTCGCATTGTTGGAGTGAACCCCATGTTTAGGGTGGCCAGGATCTAGAGTTGGTGGAACTAAGAGAAAAAAGTTAGCGGAAGACTTGACACTTTGCAAAGGAAATCTCTGAAAAAACCAGAATAATAGTAATGGATTAAACATGCATATTTATAGTCTAGGAAGTACCTATTTTGGATGTACATGTTCGTACTGTATCGCGGCTATTCGCGTGACATGACTAGTGACTGTTTGTGCAACTGAGAGTGGCGTGACCTTTTGGGTGGCTATACGCGTGAACTTACTGTTCGCATGTTGACTCACTGCTGCTGACGTCATCACGCGCATCCTTCCATATGAGGTATCGCGCTACTAGTACCGTCTACGTATTATAATAAGGAATGCATAAATGGTAACTCTGTCAAGTGTAATTCAACACTCCCCTTCATTCCTGAGTGTTTGTCTTTGGGTAAGTGTCGCCTCCAACCAGGTTGGAGCAATACTGAAATTTGCTACATGGGAGTTTCTTCATGAGAAAATCGGCTGCCATTTCTTCTGTAGGACCGTACTTCATGACGGCCTTCCCTTTGTCGACTTTGTCCTTGATGAAGAAGTATCGAAGGGCGATGTGTTTTGTCCTGTTGACGTAGTCGGGCTTGTTTGCAATCTTGATTGCTCTCTGGTTCTCGCATAGTAACTTGAAGTTACAAGTCGTTGCGATTTTCGCCTCTTGAAGTACAGTGACGGAAATCAAGGGGCTAATAAACACACTGCAGTAGATGGACAGTGTGGTTTAGGCATGATATGTTGTCATAACCTGACTACCACAGATTGCATAGTGTGCCTCTTGACCTCAGCTACTTAATACAGTTGGGTGTTGTAACTTTTATCAAATTTCTTGCATAGAGGACAATAATATTCTGCTGTCACTCGATGTGGACAATTACCGCCAGCATCGAATCTATATATATTTCGAGCCTACATTTCGCGATCTCGCAACCTGAGCTTCCGCTTTTGTTTTTCGACAACACAGCGGCAATGACGCCAAGCTCCCAGCAACGATGCGATTGCTTCTTTCAAGCCAGAAAGATAGGATAGGGTCAGGCTTTTCGACAAATTGCAAGAGCATTAGGGATAGTGAAGAGCTACGTACATAAATACGCACACGAAGCCGCCCATTGCACAAGCAGACTAGCGATCAGGCCGATTGTTCCTAGGTCTGGCCGACCGTGCATGCTCTCGGTACGTGATAGGCGCTCATTGGTTCAAGCAGTCACTTCTGGCCATGCAAAGACTAGCATAGAAGTAGCGTATCCCTTGTGTGCAAAGACTAGCATAGAAGCCACTTAGAATTAGAGCGTGGCATCAAGATCTGCCCTAGAACCGTTTGCAACGCCCTGAAATAGTTTGGTTTAGTAGCCGTCCAGAAACCGAAGAAGCCGTGGCTTTCTGCCCGTAACATCAAAGACCGCCTCGATTTCTCCAAGGCCCACCTTGACTGGACCTTGGAAGACTGGAAGCGGGTGATCTGGTCTGACGAGACCAAGATCAATCGCTTTTCCAGTGATGGCCGCACGTACGCGTGGATACATGATGAGGCAGCCCTGCAGGGTCATCACGTGCAGCAAACCGTCAAGCATGGGGGCGAGTCATTAATGTTATGGGGGTGCATGACATATGATGGTCCCGTATTTATGTGTAAGATTGATGGCCGCATGGACGGGGAGCTGTAGAGAAGCACACTACATGATGAGCTTGCACAAACCATCGATTTCTATGAACTAAACCCCTCAGATGTTATCTTCTAGCATGACAAAGACCCCAAGCTCTCTGAGCAGCAGTATTCTGTCCTGAAGTGGCCCTCTTCCTCCCCTGATCTCAACCCTATCAAGCACTTGTGGGCACACCTCAAAAGCGAGCTTGTCAAGTATGAGCATCCCCCCACAGGGATGCTCCAGACTTGGGAGCGGGTGCAAGAAACATGGGACGGATTGGGGCTGATGTGTGTAGGGGGCTAATTGACAGTATGCCGAGGAGGGTGAAGGCAGTGGTTAGGGCTAAGGGGAGATGGACTAGGTACTGATATTGGAATGTTTCTTGCTTACTTTGAATCTGGCCAAAATTTTCCGAATACTACTTGGTGAACATTGTTGTTGGTGTTGCATAATAAACATACCCTTTTAGGCAGGTTGACATGTAACCTTCTTTCTTAGGCGGCAGTCTACCAGTAAATTAAAGCCTGCTATTTAAAAGAGCCTGTATAGGAAATACACACGCATTTTAACCTCACAAAGGGTTCACATATGGATACTTTCTTCCGTCACTGTAATTCTTGAAGGTAGAGTCCTTCGCGAACTGCAGAGGTTGCTGCAATGAATTCTGCTTCGGCTGACGAAAGTGCGACGACCTCTTTTTTCGTTGATTTCCAGAAAATGACACCACCTAGTTCAAGCTTGAAGATAAGCCTATATGTAAATGCCTGTAGTCGGGATCAGCAGCGTGATCTGCGTCAATGTATCAAGTCGGTCGAAAGTTTGCTGCAGTATTTATCGTGTAGCTGAGACCGATTGTAGCAGTCGAAAGGAAATATTGGAGGGCTCAATGAAGATCGGCCATATTCCCCCCTTCACGTCATTGCAGATACTGTGTAAGCTGACTAGTGATGTAAGCAAGATCTGGTCGGCAGGTGACGACTGCAAATAGAACACCCCTGAGTTGTTTCTGGTAAAGTTGATGCTCGGAGGTGATAAGTGGGGTAGTGTTTGGTGTGTAGTCGTCCAGAATGTAACAAAAAGGAGTAGTGAGGCTGATGGAAGCGATGGCGAACTTTTTCGCAAGTGTTTCGGCATACTTGCTTGCAGAAAGATAGATGGCATCGGGGCCGCAGTTGACGTTTAGCTCAAGGAATTGGGTGACTTTGGGGGAAGTAGTAACGTCTCTTGGATTCTTTATTCCATGCGCGCCAAAATTCGGTTGTACGAGTTGGTGTACAGTAAGTCGTCCACGTGTACGACTAGAAGGATGTAATGTTACTAAAAATCGAATCTGTACATTCCAAGATCGTGGGGCAGCTGCACAAAGTCGAGGGAAAGTAGAACGTTGTGAAGTTGCTGCTGCCATGGGCAAGGAGCCTGTTTGATGCCATAGAGTGATTTAAGTAGCTTGCAGATGTGGAGTCCGTCGCCGCAAGTGTGAGGGAGTTCGTCGAAGACATATGCATCGACGCCTGCGTATAAAAACGTGGTCTTAATGTCCAGTTGGTGAAGTGGTTTGGGTGATTGGCAGCAAGAGCGAGGCGAATTCAAACCGAGGTATGGCGGCTGACCGGAGCAAAAGTCTAGTCGTAATCGATGCCATGGGTTTGCTCAAAACCTCGAACAACCCATCTCTTCTTGAACTTGTCTGGTTTGCCTGCTACATTTGTCTTTATGCGAAACACCCACTTGCCCAAAAGGATTTTCTTGCCACTTGTTGCTTCCAGTGAAACCCATTTCCACGTTTTTCGCTTCTCGAGAGCTGCTACTTCTGCATCCATAGCTGCTCGCCATTTGTCCGCATCAGAGTCAGAGAGGGCCTGCTTGACTATTTTCGGCTCGATCCTGACCGCTGGATGCTGAACTGCGATAGTAAGGCTGAGGATTTGTAGAGCCAATTGGTCACCACGAGAATATGGTTGGCAAACTTCGACGATGTCATCATCGTCAACTTCGGATGGCAAATGGCGAGAACTGTCATTTGATGCTGCGCCAGTTTTCTATCGGCGCAGGTGCTCCTCATAAGTGTAGACAACCTGTGTCATGGCAGGACGCAACAGGTCTGAGAGTGGAATGAAGAGCGGAGTTTTTATGTTGTAGGCACGTGTCGAAGGAAAATAGGATTCGAACAATGGTTCTTTACGTGACAAAGGACCTGGTTCAGCTACTGTCGTGGATGACTACGGAACTGTAGAAGGTCCTGCTGCTGCGCTATCAGGCGGATAATATTCTTCGGCTACATCTGTTGCGGAAGCACGCGCATTTGCGCCATCGCAAACGACCAAAAATCAGCTCGCAGATTGGACTGTTGCAGAAGCACGCGCATCTTCTCGTCCAACGTTCCGTTCATCCTCTCAGCTACTCCGTTTTACTAAGGGGCATAAAGCACTGTCTTGCTCTTGAGAATCCCTTTCCGCACCAAGAAATCTTCGAACTGCTTGCTAGTGTATTCACCCGCGTTGTCTATCTGTATCTCTTTCAGCTTGATGCTGCTCTGCCGCTCCGCTATTTTCAGCCATAGCTTGAAGGCGTCAAGAGCTTCTAACTTGTGAGATAGATTCTTGTGCCTGACATAGCAGGTAGCGCCATCAGTGAAGGTGATTATATATCGAGCTGCTGATGTCGTCTGCTTCCTGCAGCATGAAGAGGATATCGCTGAAAACGACGTCCATATGTCAGTACTTAGAATCATTTGGGAAGTGCGACGGGACAGGTACGAAGCATGGCTCAGGTGAGCGCCGGGGCAGATGGTGCAGGGTAGTTGGCGGCTGCTAGGTCGAAGCTCTTGGCCGTTGGTTAAAAGGAAAGTGTCATTGTCGAAAATCGAGGCTTTAATCGAGTTGTTGAGAGCTTCTCGCGGAGGATGACCTAACCTCTTGTGCCATGTTTCTGTCGTAGTCCTGTGCCCTTTTGATCGCAGATATAAGTCGGAGTGAAGGAAAAAGGCCAACAAAAGTTGAATCGTTGGCGCAAAGTTAACGCAGGCACCAGTGCTGAAAGGCCGGATGAATCCGGCTTCGTCTTCAAATCAGCCAAGCCCCTCGCACCTGCACAGTCCGCCCCGAAACTGCTCCCAGTGAGATCCAGTTATCCTAGATCTCCCACACTGTCCAACTCGCCACTCACAACTGGACAAGGTCTACAACGACTACCTTGTCCTCACACACACAGGACTACAGGGGGGGTAGTACACACTGACCTTCATCGACGACACCAGCCGCCATGTCTAGGTAGTCAACCTTCAGAATAGAGGAGGATTTCTTAACATCTTCCGACCCTGGCTCACTCTTGCTGAGCGCCAGTCCTGAAGAAAACTCAAGTATTGGCAGACGGATGGAGCTCGGGAGTTCCAGAGTGAAGAGCTATAGACTCATCTCCAAGACCTTGGAATCGAGCACATGCTCTCCCAACCCTACACTCATCCACAACAAGGCATTGCTAAACTTACCAACCGCACCCTACAGACCAAAGTAAGGGCGATGATGCTCCAGTCTGGACTGCCCCCACAGTATTGGCCCTATGCAATGCACCAAGTAGTACGCCTTCACAACCTACTGTCCTCCACTGCCAATGAAGACAATCAATCCCCCCATCTAGCCTGGATAGGAAGGCCATGTGACACTACCATGTTGTGAGTCTGGGGCTACATGGTCCAGCATTGACCTCATCATGCCATGATTGGGAAGTTCGAAAGGCGAGCTCGCTGGGGCGTCCACCTCGGACGAGTACCAAGCGTGGACGATCTTGGACCTGGAGAGTTCCAACATAATCCCTTTCAAGGACATACTCTTCTATGAATGTCTCACTCTGAAGAAGTTCTGGGCAGATCCATCTACAGTACCAATAGGGCAGCAGCTTATGCACGAGGAGAACGCAGCTTCGTCTCTTCAGAAGACGAAGTTGCCGCTGCTCGACTGGACATGCACCCACCTGATGAACACCTGGGAAAAAATCCACACTTCGACCATGACGACGACGTGGACAACGCCCCCCTCGACCCCTCTTGCGACAAATTTGATAAATGTGTAGTGTTCTGTGGTGTAGTTTGCTCTAGCTGGTTGTGGGCTATTGGGATTTGGGCAAAAGATGTGGGTTGGTTGGCTAGGTTTGATCTCGTTACCTTTCCAATCCATACAACCCCAAACCCACTACAACATCTTTGATGTTACAGATGTGGCACTTGGGGGTCTTAGAGTTTGGTCCAGGGCGAGGGTTGGTGGTGTTTGACAATCTCATTCTCGAACTTTTCCAGATCTAACTGCTGCCCCTCTCGTTTTGACTAGGTCATTCATGGCTGCCTAGCCAAATTACCAGGATATCTCCTCACACTGATTTCGTCATAATCGGCGGCTCAGATCTTGGTTATGAACGTGCTTTACCATTCTGGAAAGTAGAGATTAAGACCTTTCCAACGCGTATAAGCTCATTTCTAGAAGTTACCTGAGCTGTACGCAATGTTCCGTTAAGATCGTCAGACTTAATCTCTAATTAATTCTCTCCAGATTTGCACGATTTCCATCAGTGGTATCAGAGCCACGGTTAG